GACGGGACGCACACGCACTGTTGGTGTTTGACACCACGCGCATGCACGATCCAGGCAGCAATGATGGAGTCCACACTAGCAGTAGAAAGGAGATTTGGGCCGTGCCGGCTAGCCAGTCATATCACAAAATTACTGTTCACGTCATATCAGAATAGTATTTTCTTCTCACAACAATTAACCGAAACAATATTTTTTAGTCCTGCCGAACAGGCCTTTGGGGAGTTTGGCGTCTGGAGCCGCCCAGGCGGGGTTTGCGGATGGTCGGCAGGCGAAACAAAACAGCTGACACCGTCCCTCACCAAACGACCTACTACTACCAGTCAGTGACAGTGGGGCCGTTCGACTGGTGTGAAATTCAACCGGAATTTACTATTCACGACGAAAAATACTGTTTACTTTCTCGTAAATTCCTCCTAACGAACAGAGACAGTGTAGGAGGCGTCTACTATGATCTGGCAATCCAGCACACGTAAAAGGAAGGGATGGTCGAATGGATCGAGCCATCGACGTGGAGTGGACTCACGTGCTCCTGCCGTCCTGCGTCTCTTTGTGCGTGGGTGGGTAAGTCAGAAATGCATGGTGCATGCGATCATCAAATTGTTGACGTTGTCATCTCGTTAGTTGTATCTCTCTAGACATTTCACATGTATTTTATATTTTGAAACTATTTCACATGTATTAAAGTTGAGATGGCCGAGTTGGTCTAAGGCGCCAGATTAAGGTTCTGGTCCGAAAGGGCGTGGGTTCAAATCCCACTCTCAACATTTATTTTTTTCTTTTTATTTTCTGTTGAAACATTATTTTTTATACAAATCCCTCTCAATTTTGTTTTCTATTGAAACATATTTTTTATACAAATCCCTCTCAACGTTCATTTTTCTTCTTTTTGTTTTGTGTTGAAACATATTTTTTTTTAATATGCAAGCCCACACAACATCTATTTTTCTTTTTGTTTTTTATTGACACGTATTTTTCTATACAAATCCCACACTCAACATAAAAATTTATACAGTAACACCATTCGAAACATGTTTCTTATATTTTTAAAACCTCAGTATAAGTTTTTGTCTCCGCATGTAAACTATCCATATTATTTTTTTACTAAATGTCTACATCATTTTCCACTAATGCCAGGTCAGTCCATTAACTTTTCAACCTACTAATGCAAGCCATCAACGTCACCTTCACTAAGTGCAATTATTATCCAAATCATTTCTCACTAATATAACAATCTACATCATCTCCCACTAATACCACGTCAGCCCACTAACTTTCAACGTATTAACTCAAGCCATCCACATCACCTCCGCTAAGTGCAATTACTATTTTCAATATATAAAAAATATACAAGGCCTGCGTATATTGTTACCATTTTTTTCTCGCCATCTTATAATTTGATCTAATTATTTTAGTTTCCTATTGAATTCTTTCATTGTCACAACTCATATATACAATAATTTTATTTTTAGAAAACTCCCGCAGCAAAATGCAGAGCAAGCTTTAATATCTTTAGATTTAGATAACGTTAAAATAGAAAGTAACACCATAGGAAACATGAAATAGTGGTCGTGTTGGAGTGATTTAGTAAATAGAAAAGCTAACATGTATTATACGGTGAGCAGGTGGTGGTGCCGGAGTGATTATCAGGCATGACTAGAAATCATGTGGGCTTTGCCAGCGCAGGTTCGAATCCTGCCGACCACGGTTTTCTACTTTTTTATTTTCTTTTATCTTTTTTTTCATTTCCCTTTACTTTTCTTATCCTGTGACTGGACTAAATGGCTAAATCAACCTAGCATTACCATGATTTCGATAACTTATTATTGCATATAATTGTATACTTCGTTTTTTATTTTCAATTATCAAACATTATTCCTTACGCTCCCAAGGCTAAATTAACCTTGCACTACCGTGATTTTGACAGCTAATTGTATATAAACTGTATATTCCTTTTTTGTTTCCAATTACCAAACATTATTCCTTGCGCACCCCACCACAACACCAATTCTACCATGATTTCGACAACCAAATGTATGTACTCCATTTCTGTTTCCAATTATGAAACATGACCCCTTGCCCTCTACCAGTAATTTTTATTTTCATATTTTTCAGTTGTTTCCAGCTTTGTGGGGGAGGACATGAGAAACATGCAGCCTGTTCGCTTACTCGTAAACGATCGTAAATTTTTAGCCAGAAAAGTGTTTTTCTCTCACACCAAACCAGCCAGCAGTAAATAATCCACGATACGATACGGCCTCCCGAACAGGCTGATGGCTGGTTTGGTTTGAGGAGCAGCCCATCAACACGTGCGGTATGAGTTCACTCCTGCCGCTCTGCTAGGATCAACACACTCAGCACGTGGTGTTATCCGATTGTTTCGACGCTTTTTTATGTTGGTGGAAGATACGCCCCGGTAATGTACATGTACGGGCTAGTCCCCTGCGACAAACCAAACAACGTGTTTAGGATCAGGTGGCTCCGTATGGTGCCACTCCGTGAACCAAAGACATATTCGCGCTGAGAATTTAAGCCTTGGTTTTTCTTCTATGTGGTCACTTTTCCAACTAAAATGTAACATAGTAACTCATATTTGCTAAAAACACGACAAAAAAAAAACATTTGCTCTACGGTTTTGTTCATCACATCGTTTACCTGTCTATTGCTTTCGTCTTAGATCCATAAGATTTCACCATCAATGCCTAGTTCCACCACAGTAATAATTTATATGTTGAAAACACCACAAAATTAAAAAAACATTTGCTCTACGGCTTTGTTCTTCACCATCGTTTTTTGTCTGTTGGCTGTTGCTTTCGTCTTAGATGTACGCAGCACGACATTTCATCATCACTTGAACACCTAGTTCCACCACAATAAATTAGACTACCATTTTCATTGGAGGTTCTGTTCATAAAAATAAAAAAAGTTTTAAGGTAGTATAGTAATAAACAAGTTAAAAGGCGAAATAGTTTTTTTAGCGACCAAAAGCCATGCTGTATCATTTAGACGTTTACTCCCTCTGTTCTAAATGAACTCAGATCAGTTGGTTGGGTTCCTTGTGGTGGAACCTGTCTATCCGGGTTTAGGTGCTCGAATTTTTCTGGATTTATTCTAGGATTTAACGGCGCTATTGTTTCCGTGGTAGGCGATGTCTTTGTCGACAGAATGCGCTTGTGGTGACTTCGTGAATCTCGAGATCTCGGCTCAGTCTTTCGAAGATGCTCATAGGGTAAGATTTGTGTACGTGTATTCATAGGGATGAGTGTGCGTGTGTACTATGTAATTCTAAAAAAAGATGTTTTGATTTTTCTAAATACATTGCTAGCATGTCGATTGTAGACTACGAGTGCATTTGATAAATTTTTATATCAGGTAGGCTAGCTTTTGCCTGAACAACGACAACCTTTGTTTTAATTATACCGTGCCGATGAGGAACCAACCACCTCTATGGCCTATATACCTCGTAAGGGGAACCCAACACCCTGTATACCTTGTAATAGTATGTTCGCTTCATCGCAAATGCAATTCGGCTCGCATTAGCCGATGTCATCGTGATCAGAATTCAAAAGTGCACACGACCAGTGGCGGATCCAAAAACAAATTTTATAAAGCTGAACAATACATATATCTAACTGCTGTTATCTGATCTTAAGTCTCAGTCCCACGGTACGCGAAAGGAAAACTGCTCTAGAGTCTGGCCCAATCTTTGCTCAACCAGGCGTCCAGGCCCCACCTGTCTGTCCTCTGGATTCTACTGCCGTGTGGGCGCGCACCACGCGCCGCGGGCTCTTCTTTGCGTCAGCGTCGCACTCGCACTTGTCCTCCCTGTGGGTCGGCTGTTTGTTAGGGCTGCCCGGGCCGGTGCGCTGCGCAGGTGGTACTACTAGCCTAGTAGGGTAAAGGCAACCGTGGTCGTTCTCTACTCCGACTCGGAGCGGATCGGTTCGGATCGGGCCGGGCCGGGCCGGGGCGTGTGGCTGCGCTGCGTCGCCTACTCGCCTCGCCTCGCGTCGGCGATTCTTCCGGCGAACCAACGGCGCCAGCCACACCCGAGCGAGCGGCGCAGAGAGGGGGCGAGTGGACGCCACGCTCGCCTCAGCCTTAGGGATCGAAGGGCCCTTCCGTCCGCGTGGCTGCTCCTCTCGTTTCGGCTCTCCCACCCGTCCAAGGTGAGGAGGGGGTTTCTTTCCCGTGCGCCGAGTTCTTGGCCCGTTGGTCGTTTACTCGTTTGCAGTTTATTATCCGGTTTCTTCTTCTTCGTCTTGGGATTTTATTGATCTGCGATTCGCTTGCATTTGGGTCATTTCTTGCGAAATCTAGACCGCAGGTAGCTCTGTTCTTGTTATTCTCTTCTCTAATAAAGATGCTCTGCTAATTTTGATTCGATTTGAAGGGCATCAGAGACCTACTTACTTGTCTCTTTGATTGATTCAGTTCTTCCATCAAGAGATCCTATGCCAGATTTCTCAGAGAAACACTTTCTTCTTCGATGTTGAGATTTTGCGAATTCGTGCTAGTTTTATACGTTTCCATCCCCTAAAACTCCATTCTTTCTCGTCGCTAAAAATTTTCACCACCTCTCACGCTACTGCTTCAAGATCTGTTTGGATTAGGTTATCGTGTACAGCTTAAGAACTACAACCCTCACGAAAAAGGGCGGAAATAGAAAGAAACACGAGAATGCGTCTCGTTTCCGTGTAGAAAGGCGACACCTTTTTTTGGCACCCAGCATTTCCTTTCCTTGTTTTCCAATTGGAGGAATACAATGCCGTAACGAAAGAAGGAAGGCTCTTTTGCATCCCTTTTTTGGGGGGCCATTGCGGTGTTGATAAGAAAAGGCGATAGCTCCCTGACTCCCCCTGTACCAGTCCTGTTTGGATTTCCTCCGCGGTTTTGATTTCTGTACGCGCATTGGCTGGCTCGCTCAATTGCAATCACTTCCTTCCAATCTAGCGGACTCAATTTCTCCGGATCTGGGTTTCAGGAGGCCGTGAGCGTCAGGCATGGAGCACTGCTATTTGAGGCAGCCGATCTCGAGGGCCGAGGCAATGCCCGAGAGGAGGTCCAGGTTCTGGCAGATGGATGCGCCGCCTCCACCCCGGGCTGAGGTCATCTGCCCCCAGCCTCGCCGCGCCACCCGTCTTCCCTTCGCTGTGGAAACCGTGAACAAAGCCAGCCCCAAGACGAACGGGTTAGTTCTTTGATTATGTTATTATACATTTTCCTTTGATTAGCTGTCCAGTGGCAAGTCTGATGGTGGCAATGCAAATACTTTATGCAATGTCCTGGTGTATGTGGATCTGATTAGTTTTCATGCGGGCAGTACCAGCAATTTTCGGTGGCACCATCACCATGACAAGTATATGGATTTGAATGTTGTATGGGTTATTGGGTTTATTGTGCAATTCTTGACATATGTGCTAGTAAATGTGTAGTATTTATTGAATTAGAGAATTAACATACAGAGGCAATCTTCTTCTTTATCTGAGGCATGATACAAAGCTCAAGATAGAAATAGAAAATGATTCACTGCAATGCACATAGCTTTGTCGCACAAATAAGGGGCACTGGTAGGACTACCACACTATGTCTGGTTTCTTTTGCCTAATTTATTGAAACAAAATACGTTACAAGGGTAACTGCATGTCTAACTGTATCTATTTATCCTGATGGATGTATTTCAATGATAATGATTAGTCTGGTACTAATCATGACTTTGAAACAAAATACGTTACAAGCGTAAGTGCATGTCTAACTGTATCTATTTATCCTGATGGATGTGTTCAATGATAATGATTAGTCTGGTACTAATCATGACTTTCTTTGCTTAACCTTTACTCTCCACAACTGCAGTGCATTTCCGCTGTACAGATCAGACTCCACTGCTGATATACTTGACCTTATCCTCAGTAAGGTAATTATTGGAAAGTTCGCTCATTGATTGAATGAGGTAACGTAAACTCCCGTGCAATGCATGATTAAATCTTGATAACCGACTTTCTTTTTTTCAGAATGACTCAGATGGAGATTCGAGCAGCCAGGTGGGCTTTTTATGTGGCTCGCCTCCAGTACGCACTAACAACCCTGTTATCCATGATCCACAGTTTGGTATAAGAGTGCCATCCTTTTCTCCTTTAGGGAGCTCCTATGGCAAAGCACCAACAGTAAGAGTTGAAGTAGGCTCGCCATCTTGCGGTGTTAGCAGCAGCCCAAAAGTAAGAATCGAAGGTTTCGCCTGTGGCAACTCTGAGACCCACTATGCAGTTACCTTTGTCTGAGCATTTAGTTGTTATGTTCCTGATTTTGCCCTCGGACCGACCGCTCCTTGTGAATCACCATGGTGGCGTGCAGGATATAAGTAGTACCTTTAAGCTAGCCTGATTAGAGTCGCCATTTGCCCTTCTGATTCTGGCATTTGAAACTGCACAATTGCAGTGAGCAGTAAGATGTATATAAGTGAGGTCCCCGCATATGTAACCATATGATGTATGTGTCTAGTAAATGTAGCTGGAGTTCTGGTATTTCATGGATAATGAGCCTGTGAATAGAGCGTTTTTTTGCATTCGGAAGTAAGGTGCAACATGGAGTTTTCAGTTATTATAATATAATGAATGCATCTTTGTTTTGTGTCACTTGGGAGCTTTTTTGCCTATGAATTACCAATTTTCCTTGCAGTTTTGTTTTGGTGTTACACATGCTTATTTGTTGCCAGCTGCCTGTCAATTTCCTAGCATGCTGGCTGGAAAATCAGTTCTGAAAAATATTTATGTAGCCAAACCATTCGGTCAAAAATTCAGCTTCAGTAGTCATCTTAACTTTTATTCTGGGGAACAAATAACAATACTGCTTTGTGGAGAAACTGATTGTTGACTGGGTGAGGTGATTACGGAACAATGATGTTTACAAGGGGGTTTTCAACACGAACACTGCCAAACTGTGGTCATAGCAGGTTTTATTTATTTATTTTTTCACCTTTTTAGCTTAAAACGCTGTGCGAAATCTTCTAACTCCTCACGGTGATGAGCGATGATATTGAAATCAATAAACAGTTTGCGGCAATGAAATACTTTATGCAGATCAGGAGGCAACTGGTAATCGATCCATGTGTATAGTCAAAGTCAATGACAATCCACACGGGCCCAGGCCTAACTGAGAAATGAGCAGCAACCCTACTTCTAATAACTGAGGAAAAGGGGAAAAAAGAAGCAGCATATAGTGTTTCACTTTCACATCGCATCGCGTTTGCACAAAGTGATCACAAAGAAAAGCTGTTTTCCAAAGAGGTTACCACAATGGATGTTTTCAAAAAAACACACTTCAGTATCAGGAATTCATTTGCCCATGGTACAATGAGTATTTAATTTGTTAAAACCAAACTAAGTAACTAACACCAAACTTCGGCCAACGCAGCCTTATTTTGTCTTCTTCGCCTTTTCAGTTCGAAATGCTGCGCAAATCTTCTTCCAGCTCCTCATGGCGATGAGCGTTGGTATCCAAACCCAGAAACTGTTTGCGCCAATGAAATATGCCCAGAAGTAGAATGGACTGACCCAGAAGTCGAAGCCATCCAAGTACGCAGTGATGAAGTAAACAAGGCACCCGTAGAGTTGGCCCAGGCAGACGGTGAACTGGAGAATATGGCTATAGGACTTGTGGGATGCAATGGCATAGCTGCAACCAGCAAATTTGTCGTCAGATAGAATAAATGTAGCATTATGAATCTAAATCACACATCCGCGGCTGACTGTATCTTGGATTTGGATACAGTATTTGCCAGATAGAAGGTAAATGATACTGCCATATGAACATCAACAGAACACAAAAAAATGAGGCAACCCACAGTCCCACACTTCATCAGATTCAGACCTTTTGCCTTTGGAACAAATTCACCAGAAGAAATATCACAACACTGTACCAAAAGCTCAAACTTTGTGGACGCATTCAATTGCCAAGCACATAAAGATGTTGGCTAAATTATTCAATCATTTTACTTACTATCCGTTAAGAACACTCTGGAAATCAATTTGTTAAACCAACAGATGCTTATGTTAGGTAAAATCAACAAGAATATTTGGATTGAAGTGATCATAACGATTCTCTCTGAATTTAGTTGCATCGTCACCATCAATGTTTATTCAGTCTATTAAGAACTACTATGAATACCAAGAATGCTACACCGCGCTCTACGTTTTCATTATTCCACTGATATTCGTGCCTTGCAATTTTTCTTGGACCACATTTCTCACCGTTTAAATGCTTTATCGGTGCATGTGGGATTAGCTTCCTGCAGAAATCTATGAACTAGATGCATGCTAATTCAGAGGGTGATGCTCAGACTGCTGTTGTATCAATTGTAGAACTATGTAGCAGCATGGTGGTGACAACAACAAAGATCCCATCCATTGCAGCACCATATTTGCACTAACTTGGCAAAGAAAGGATAACCACAGAGAAATGATGATTGAACAAAATTTAGAATGCATTTTGCGCGTGTGTCAAGAGATGATGAGAAGCAAGTCATACACTGCAAGCAGCGACGCAGGGCCTTCTAGCACAGCTGTAATCCCTTCAACCGTGACGGTCGCGGGGTCCCTAGCGACGTATCTGGAATCGCCTTTGCTGTACTCCTTCCCTGAACAGCGTGCGAGTATTTGGTCAGTCAAGCACCATTTCGACACACAACATGAAAACACAGCGATGGCACGGGGAGTTCCAGAGGGAGAACTTACAGACTTCATCGAAGTAGCTGGGGTTTTCCTTACTGAAGAATCCGGGGTTGAAGACGAAGGTCCCCTCGATGACGATGTGGGTGAGGCCGGTGAACGCCCACCAGCACATGAGCAGACGGTCCGTCTTGGATAACCCGCGGCACCTTCCTGCAATCAGCAGTCACCAACCAGTGGCATGAGCTGAGGATTACGCGTACGCAGAGGGGGAAAAAAGTGAAAAAAAATGAGGTGATTTTGAATCGAGAAAGTTTGACTCGGCACCCAATTTCAAAAACCGATCAGGAGGCACAGCGAGGATCTAGGCAACCTTGTGCAGCGGAATTACGTTAGCCAGCGAGCGAGGGGATGGGAGGGACGAGGGCTTGCAATTGCAGTTGCAGTGACGGAATCCGACGGAACAAAGGAGCAAGAGCAAGCGGGATGGTTGGATTGGTAGGTTTTGGGCTGCACTCGTTATAAGCGCTAGAAGCGTAGAAGACTACACACACAGGTGGCGGTCGTAGCGTTACCGGAGACGAGCCAGACGGCGAGGACGACGAAGACGGAGGTGCCCAGGTAGGGGGCGAGGATCTGGCCCTGCGACAGCTGCAGCGGCACGAAGCCCGGCAGGTGCAGATCCGCCGGCGCGTAAGGGTGCTCGTCTCCACCCATCGCCGCGACGCCTGCTGCTCCTCGAGACGGCGAGTAGGTGGTCCGGTGATGGCACGGGAGGGAGGGAGAGTCGTCGCCTGCTTGGCTTGACTGCTACAGTCCTCTTTAATAAATGGAAAGAGGGTGCCGGCGGCCGGCGGCCGGCGCGGATGGGATCGGATCGAGTTCGCAAATTCGCAATCACGCTGGGACTGGAGTCGCTGACACGTGGGCCTGAGATCGGTGGAAGCCAGTGGCTGGGACTGGAGTGGGACAGCTCCAGATTCAAAAGAAAATGAGAGCGGGGACGGGAAGCAGCAGAGCACGAGCATCACGCTGCGAGCCTGCAACTAGCAACGACAGGCAACAGAGACGTTTTTGTGTTTTCACCTTTTTGATCTACAATTTTAATAGTAATATGTACACAATTATTATTTTTTTACTACGGCCAGATTATTTTGATTCACTCATGGCTGCTGCCCTGTAAACAGGATGTCACAAATTATTTTTAGAAGCTTCCACAAATATTCTCAGGTGGAAATTAGTCATAAACCAATTTATCCAATATTTTTACATGGACTCGAACCATACAAAGGTCACAAAATTCATGCAAAAATAGTATAGACATGTTACTTTACTCCTAACTTGCAACTGCATTAACGACATGTTTGGTTGCAGATATGGTATTGGAAACGCAAAGGGAATATGATTACGCGGGAAGACGGCGATTCCGTAATCTGATTACACGGGGGCTGGAGCTGTATCAGCTTTGTATAGTATGGTATCTGATAACGGCGGTATGTATCAGCTTTGTACAGTATGGTATCTGATAACGGCGGTACGCAATTCCACGAGGCCGGAAACAAACATTAATTAATGAAATCAGTTACCGGCAGTAATCGAATCACGTTACATTGACGGGAACCAAACACTACGTAAGATCGAGGGAGTGAGGCTGAAAACAGTTCTGATGCCCATGTACCATCGTCCTGTTCGCTTGCCTTATAAGTCGTATATTTTCAGCCAACGAACGGTATTTTTTTTATCGTAATAAATCAGCTAACAATACTTTCAGCCATGACTTATCAGCCAAACGAACAGGACACGTACTAGTCCGGAATGAGTGCCAAATCCCCTTATCAAGGGCCATCGATCAATCCTCAATCAATCCATTACAAACTTTAGACGCAACTTCTACATCACCAATGTAGCATCTTCACCAAAGGAGTTTGCAAACTAAGCATCTATGAACAGATCAGACCAAGTATGGTATTTGAATACCTAAAGAGAAGTTGGAGATGGGAGATGAAATCCTATGCAGGGGATCTTCAATCTTATCGAGGGAGCCCTCCGATCCTTGCTTCACCCTTCCTGATCCGGTATGCATACCAGACTAGTATGTGCGGGCCCAAATTTTGTTTCCAAATTGCGCTCTCTCTTTTTCAACGTACGGTTGGAAATAATAGTAATTTAGTGACGCATAAATTAATTACAATAATGAGGAAAAGATCAACAACATGTGTTACAGGTGTGTGTGATTTAACACTAGCACTACGATACGAGACAAACTTAAATTCCCTAGTGGTGCTAGTAACAAAAGGAATGTTAGAAAGAACAACAAAGAAATTCTAGACATCTTTACAGTGGGGATGTCGGCGCTAGAGATAGCACAAAAGTTGACGAAGCAGACCATCGATGGAGATCCACGAACACAGGTGTGGAGGGAAGAAGATGTTCAGTGAGCAGTCGCGACGGTGCTTCCCAAAAACTTGATACGGCCCCTACCCCATGTAGCAGAACCATCCGAAATAGCACGATTCCGGAGGTGCTCGTCTTCCACTAGACACTAAGCACCCCGAAAGTAAACTACATCGGACGGTTCCGTCGAGCACACCCCAAGGGAGAACTCGAACAATCCACGTTTTTACCCCAGGATCCAATAATGTGAACCAGTTTACAATTCTTAGTCCATTTCATACACCAAGAGTTCTTAGAAATACGTTATTACAATACCAAGTTCAGAGTGCGGAATTTAAACAGCAGAATTATAATAAACATCTAACGATAAGATACAATGATTCGTCTGTGGCCACCAGAAAAATCCTCCACACAATAGCTACTCCTCAAGCTGAACCTTCAACAGGAGTAAATAAACCCTGAGTACACAATGTACTCGCAAGACTTACTTGACTAGTGAAAATAATTTTCCGACTCCAATAGATATGATAAGCTTTATGGTTTGCTAGGTTTCCTTTTTGCAAAAAGCAATACTAATAGTGAATCCTTATGCATGTGTTTTATTAGTAGTCATGATTAGTTCATTAGCTAACCATTCTATGTAAGCACTTGTTCTACTTTCAAGCAAGAGTTGAGCAATCAGATCTATTTCACTATCTTTCATCTTCCAGTTATTACTACGGTGCTAGATCGTAGACAAGTCCCAAAAACCTGATACGACCCCTACCCCATGTAGCAGAACCGTCCGAAATAGCACGATTCCGGAGGTGCTCGTCTTCCACTAGACACTAAGCACCCCGAAAGTAAACTACATCGGACGGTTCCATCGAGCACACCCCAAGGGAGAACTCGAACAATCCACATTTTTACCCCAGGATCCAATAATGTGAACCAGTTTACAATTCTTAGTCCATTTCATACACCAAGAGTTCTTAGAAATACGTTATTACAATACCAAGTTCAGAGTGCGGAATTTAAACAGCGGAATTATAATAAACATCTAACGATAAGATACAATGATTCGTCTGTGGCCACCAGAAGAATCCTCCACACAACAGCTACTCCTCAAGCTGAACCTTCAACAGGAGTAAATAAACCCTGAGTACACAATGTACTCGCAAGACTTACCTGACTAGTGAAAATAATTTTCCGACTCCAATAGATATGATAAGCTTTATGGTTTGCTAGGTTTCCTTTTTGCAAAAAGCAATACTAATAGTGAATCCTTATGCATGTGTTTTATTAGCAGTCATGATTAGTTCATTAGCTAACCATTCTATGTAAGCACTTGTTCTACTTTCAAGCAAGAGTTGAGCAATCAGATCTATTTCACTATCTTTCATCTTCCAGTTATTACTACGGTGCTAGATCGTAGACAAGTCGTACCGTATTACACGGCGATTCACAAATCAATGTAGCCCAGCTTGGTACCCCGAAACACACGCCCCGCTTGTACCCTAGGCACAATCAGGACCAACCCACCACTCTTCTGTCAAGGGGTCCAGGTCCTCGTTCAAACTTGGACTCCAAGCCCCCACACCTGAGTCCCGGACTCAGTGTGGTGCTTAGACCTCCACCATCCCCGCCTTCAATCAGTCAGTCCGGAAAGAGCCGGAACCCACAACAAGAGAGCAACGAGCCTTTCCGCTCCCATAAGCAAGTATGTGCTCAGGATAATAAGTCTGTGACCTGATTATAATCCAATGCAACAGTCGGTCCTTAACCGACATGGACAAAAAAAATAGTGTAACCAAGCTATGCCCCATTGGCCGCGGGACACAACCTATTACATCCACCAATGCCCATACCATATCTCTGCCCGGTCTCCATTTCGCCTTTCACCATTTTACCATGAGAGTGATAATAATAATCACCTATTGTGAGTAACGGTAGGTTACTCACGCTACCGATAGCCTAAGCATAGCAGCTCACATCACATATATATATCCAGTGATTATTCAAAATAAGAGTTATGCACAGGGGCTTGCCTTGGGCAGGCGGGGTGTCAACTCAGTCGGTCAGTGGTGGCTCTTGTAACATCCTCGGTGTTACATTGTTTAGTTTTTGCTAAAATACTGCATGAGCATCGTACTTATGTGTAATTGTGTGTAAATATATGAGTTATAGAGTGTAAAACAATATACGAAACTTGAAACGTTCATTTGAAACATGAAATGCATGTTACATTTCATGTCCCGATGTATTACTTAGGGTTCTAAATGAATTTTTATTGGACGGAAATGCTATAGAACTCATATGCGGAACGTTAGTAAAGTTTGTAGCACGAACTTCGTAGGCGACGATGAAATACGTGCGGTCGAGGATGGGGTTCGCTAGCTAGTGTATCAAGTAGCTTGGAAATGGAATTCGATGCGAAACCGTTTGAAGCTTAGTCAATTCTTGTAAGTCTAAAAATGGGTCGACGAAGCCATGTTCGACAATTTTTGTAGAACGATCGGGTTAAGTAGTGGCAAGATGTTTTAGCTTAGTTTGATAGCCTTATGTACACTCTTGAGTATAGAAGAACTGGTTTGGCATTTGGAGCATCGGGTTTGAGTTTTTGGGATGCTTTAAAAAGCGTGCAAGTCACTGTCTCGGTCGATTGCAGTGTCTGGGCGCGATCACTGTGCCGGCGCTCGGTGTCACCACGCCTGCTACCAGCCACGGCTGCCGTTGCCGCGCCCTAGACAACCGCCCGCGTGCCTACCACCGCACTGGCCGTCCCTGCCACTGGCCCCGCCCTATTGGCCGTGCCGTCGTTGCTGCCCTGGGACGCCACGCACACACACGCACGCGCCGCTGCCGGGCCTGCCTCTGGCCACCGTCGCCCGCCCCGCTGTGGCCGGCCATGCCGCTGGTCCCGCGCTGTAGGGCGCGCCGTGTTGCTTCCATGGCTTGCGGGTTGTGACAGTGCGACCATGCGTCTTGTGCACGCCTCGCTGTTCCCCATCACCCGTGCGCGCTTGTACTTGGAGTTGACGGCCGATTCCGCCACGACAGCGCCGAGCCGAACTCCGCCTACTTTCCCTGTTCCTTTGTCACCGGGCCGTGCCGAGGCATGCACGCAGCGTCGGCCAAATCAGTGAAATTGTGTGCGCCTAAGGATGGAATAGAGACCTAGCTACGCGCCGAACCCGTCCACTGCTGCTGCCAACCGGTGTCGAGCTCCAATTCAAAATTCCTTCGCCGTCGGTCACTTTAAGACCCCATGGCAGCGCCCGCCTAATTCCTCTAGCCCAGTCCACCTCTGTCCAATTCGTTGGCACTAAACCTTCACCTTGCTC